AATCACAAAATACTATCGAGCAGTTTTTGAGAAAAATTATGTTAAACTTCAACATCGATTTACTCGAAATGCATTTTTGGCATATAGAGCACTTAAATCCCCGGGCGACGATATAAGTGTTCATATACATAATCAATTAAAATATTTATTGATCTCTAAATAAGGTAAAGTTTCTGTACAAAAGTACTGATCAGGAGTAAGTACTGATCATAACTCAATCATGTTCCAGAACACAAAAAAGAATTAAAAATTTAATTACAGACAGTCTCGTTCAAAGACTACTCGCCATTTGTGGCATAATCTCAGCATTTTCCCATTAAGCTTAAACTTAAGAAAATCCGATAATTTTTTAAATTTATTCTTCAACACCTGGCTATCTTAACAAATATATGTATTTTTATTTTTTTATTATGTTGTTCATGCAATAGTTTTTGCTTTCTTTTTTTATAATAAAAATTATTTTTATTTTTAAATGCATGTACCTGTCATTCATATAAGAAGTTTTTCATCATTTCCTTTTTGTAGTTGGAAAAATAACAAGAGATTGAAATGAAATACAATAAAATAAAGTGCTGTTCATTTTATTTGAAGTATGAGTATTCCTGTAAAAGTACATACAATCATATTGTTAAAATATTCGTTACAATCAGCAAAACTCTATTTTAGTAAACTTTTTATAGCGAAATTTTTGCTTTAGTAAACCTAAATCAATAAACAAAAAAGTCGTTTCCACAAAAAGGCTTTGAATGTTTAATGACATATTGCTATTTTTAAAATAACTTTAAAATCGAATTGAATTGAATTTAAATTTATATTTAGCTAATATTCATGAAAATATGAGTTTTAGTTTTTACGTTTACCATAACAAATCTTTGTCACACTGACATATTTGATATTTAATAAATCTATATTAATTTATTTTCAAGACATTTATTTTATTACATATTTTAGCAATATGAACTTATTTAACAACATGAGTATATTTGTATATAAATGCGTTGGATTATATACATACATAAGTATGTACTATATGTATGTGTGAGATTGTATTATATATATGAATGTCATTTGTGCCGCAGATGGAATTACTTTCTTTAGAAAAGAATCAATCAATATGTGCAAATGTATGCATTTCTTAGGAAAAATTGTTCAATGCACATTTTCAAATACATAAGTATATAATCATGTACTTATAAACTTCCCTTACTATGTATGTATAAACATATAAAAAAAGGTATATGTGTATCCAAATGACACTGATAAAATTAAAACTACGCTTTGGAAATATTTTAAAAGGAATAAGTAAAAATTTATTATTAAAATTCTTACATTTAATAAATTTTATTTTGTATTTTCCTTAATCCAAAAACTACTCGCCTGTAAAAATCATTGGAGTACATGATCCGTTGAGTAGTCCTATGTAATTCAGGCATGAATCTTGTTTATTATTTTTGAAAACAACATGATCTATAGCCTGCATTGCATAGGATCATGTTGCGGATCATGTATTCCAATAACTTCAGCAAGGGACTAGTTTTGGGATAACTCCGATGTAATGTATTGATGGACATCACAATGTTAAATGGAGCATGTTTTTTCACATACATATTTGGATTAGTTTTGGTCCAGTCGTAGTCCTTTGAGGAGTACTCTTTACACGCGTTTGTAGTAGAGTGGTATACATTTTTGCAGGGTTAATGCAATGTAAAATTAATGATTAGATAAAATCAAGATTAAATTTATAATATAAATTTATAAAATAGATATAACTTTTGTGTTTATTTGTAACACATTGGTCATAGAACCATAAAATTATATATTTTATAAATGGGCAATTTTGTGTTATGGTTAGTACTATTGGATAGTAGGCCAGAAACAAACATTCAGCTCTATCTGTCAAGAAAAGCTGGACTTAGAGGGGATCAAAGTTGGACATTTTGGTCATACAGGGTTTTATTGAAATGAGTGTAACTTTTCACCTATTGGTCCTAGCAAAATTTGTCCAAAGAAGTTAAGATAGCTGTTTCACCATTGTTTCCCTCTCGTATCCCATTATGGGACTATAAAGCCTTTAAAGGAAATTGTATAAGATTTTTTTGAGCACGAAAAGGAGTATTATTTTTTTTTAATTAAAAAAAAAACAGTTACATACCCACCATCAAAAAAACCTTTCTATCAAATTTTGTGTGTATCGGTCAATAATTGACCCTACCCCAAATATAAGGTCCCCTTCAGAAATTACTGTCTTAAAAATACGAGTATAGCGATGAAATTCGACAAACATAAGTTCCATGTCAGTGAAAATCTCTCTATCAAATTTTATGTGAATCGGTCCAAATTGACCCTACCCCCTATATTAGGCCCCCTTCAAAAAACGACTTTAACGCGAGTGGGAGGGGTGCCTGTTTATATAGTATTTCACCGCTGTACTTACATTTTTGAGTTAGTAATGAGCGTTAAAGTAATTTTCTGAAGGGGATCTTATATGGGGGGTAGAGTAAATTATGGACCCATCCTCATAAAATCTAAGAAAATGGTTTTAGATCCTAAAAAGCTCTTTTATGTCGAATTTGCTTCTTAAGGTCAGTTATGAGCATTAAAGTAATCTTCTAAAAGGGACCTTATACGGGAGGTACATTATAGATCGATCCTTGTAAAATTTGACGAAGAGATTTAAGTTCCTATGTAATATGTTCCTGTCGTATTTCACCGCTATAGGTGCTACTTTTAGCCAGTTATGAGCGATTCTGAAGGGGGCCTTATATGGGGGCTAGGCGAAATCGTGGACGTATTTTCCATTTTCCATACCAAACAAACTGTATGAACTAAAAGTATCTGTGCAAAATTTCAGCTCGTTAGCTACTTCCATTTGGACTCTATCGTGTTATCAACAGACAGACGGACATGGCTAGATCGTCTTAGAATCTAATATGGACCCATAATATACATAATTTTATGAGTCTTAGACGAATATTTCGATGTGTTACATACGGTGGGTGTAAAAATATACAGAATTTTTAACTTGTGTTTAAATTAAATAACTAATGCTAAAAAACTGAAAACAAATAATATTGGCCAAAATTAAATTTTTATTAAAGATTGTTGTTGTTATTATTACATTTTCGTTTGCAAATAATTAAGTTAATTAATAAATAATCAAATGAATAAATAAATAAATAAATTAATCAATAAATATTTTATTCATTTTAATAAATAAACTTAAACTATAAAGAAATTTATAGCACTCGCCTTTTATAATTTGGTTGGAAAAATTCCAACGAAAAAGGTGCTAAACATAAAAAAACACAATGAGTATGTCAAGTATTAAGGATCTGGTGATCAATAAATTAATTAAAGCTAAAATAAATAATATAAGCAAGTTAAATGAAAACATTTAAATAAATATTTTTTAAAAATAAAACTCAATAAATATGAAATAAATTAATTAAATAAATAAATAAATATTTAGGCACAAAGCAATGGTTTCTTTATATTGCAAAAAGTTTTTTTTTTAATAATTATACACTTTACTTATGACTTTAATAAGTTTGAAAAAAAAAATATTTAAAATATATAATAAATAAAGCAATTATAGGTAATTATACTATGTATAAAAACTTGTATAAAAATTAAGTGGCAAATTGTGTTATAAATGCACTTATATATTTTTATTATTATATAAATAAATAAATAATTTAATAGTTTAAATAAATATGTATAAAAAAATTAAATACGTTTTAAAAGCAATAAATAAACATTTGAGCTTTTTTCCATGATAGCTTTTTGATGCTTACAAGCTAAAAGAAAATAAATAAATTTATAAATCCCCAATTGTTTAACATAGATTTGTTTAAATAAATAACCAACCACCTTTGTTTTGTAATAAATAAATATCATAATAAATAATTTAATAAATAAATAAATTAATTAATTAATAAATAAAAAATTTAATAAATTAATATTTCAATAAATATTGTTGCTATATAAATAATTATAAATTATTAAAGTAATGTTTTCATGGCAGAATATATTCTGTTAAAAATATATATGTATATAAATCGTTTAATAAATAGTTTAATTTAATTTCTTTTAACACTTTTAATATTTCTTTTCGTTAAATAAATAATTAATTTAATTTGTTCATAGAACTTTTAATAATATAAAAAATATGTTTGTTTTTTAACGGTCATATATCATAGATATATTTCATTAATAGTTTTTTCTTTATTAATTCAACAATTGTTTATTTAAATATTGTTTTGTTTTTGTAATTATGTATATTATATGAAAATATATGATAATCTGTTTGTGCTATAAAAAGGATTTTGCATAAGATTTTTTATATTGTAAATCATAAGTTGAAAATGTAAAATCACAACCATTTTTCAAAAAAAAACTTATAATAATAATGAATTCTATTATAAGTTCTTTTTAACAAACAAATTTCTAAGTCCACAATTGTTAGAAATGTCAGTAAATATGTGGGCAATTTCATGTCAAGTGACTTTACAAATTTTGTAAAAACTTGTTCCATTGATATTTTTATGATTTATAAAACCTGTTTCTATTAGAATCGAAACATTATATTTTAAATCACATTTATAGCACAAATAAATTTATGAATTTGATCTATTCTAGTACTAGTACAACATTGGAGTTCTGATCAAAATTTTAATGAAAAAAAATTGTTATTAACATTTTTCATTAATTTGGTTAACTTTTAAATTTGACTAGTACCATAATAGAACTATAAATTTATAAATAATATACAAACATTAACCCCTTTCAATCAATCAAATAAATAAATGAGTTACAATAAATAAATAGCAATAAATAAATAAATAAAACTTAAAACTAATATTCGCACATTTCACAAATATTTGGATTGTATATGAATAAATAAATAAATATTTTTATAAATTATTAAATAAATAATTAAACACTAAAATATATATTTTTCACAAAAATTATTTTAAAATAAATAAAATAAATTTCAATAAATAAATTAAATAAATAGTTATTAAGAAACAAAATATTTCAGAAATAAATAAATTAAATAAATAAATAAGTTAAAATAAATAAATAAATAATTTCTTTTTTTGTTCCCAAAATATTACTGTGTAACATTTCATAAACCCCACTTTAATGTTGCATTAAAATTTCAGCTCACATATGATATGGTTGACAGAATTGATATACCAATCTTTGTGATCTTTCTGTCTTTTTCATAATGCCCTTCTTGTAGTATTGACGTATGGAACGTGATAGTTTATCATAATTCATGGCTGGACGATTTTTGCGTTTACCCCACAATTTGGCCACTCTCACTGAATCCTCTATCTTAAAAATGCCCTTGCTGCGATCAATCCAACGTATGGCTGTGCCATTAATATGGGGTGCCGCTAAAAGTTCTTTTAGAAATTGCCATAAATGTATGTGAGATCCACCGTTGCGGGTGCCAGCACGTTTAACTGGCGTTATGGTATTGATTTCATTAGTAGTTGTATTATTATTGTTGTTGTTGATATTATTATTTGTGTTATTGCTGTTGTTGTTGTTGTTATTTATACCATTGGAATTTGTATTGATCACCTCTTCATTATTATTAAATTGGCCGTTAACTTGTTGTTGTGCGTTTGCCAGAGAGTTGTTAGTGTTAGAGTTGTTGTTGTTGGTAAGAAAATCATCTTCATCTGTAATTGTTTTTTTATTGTTACAAATATTTATTTAAATTTGTATTAAATGTTTATTTATTACCTTCGGTATCTTCTTCCATGCTATTATTGTATGCATGCAATATATTGCTTGTCCACATATTATGTGTTTGTTGCATTTGATTTATAGTTGTATTTTTTGGATATTCGGGTGAATATGTTAGTTTCCATATTTCCAATTGAGCATGCAAAGTACTACCACCCTGTAAGAGACAATAAAATTAAATGTTTAAAATATTTTTGTGCAATAATTTGAAAATGTGACCAATAATCAGATATTTAACTAAATTTCGCTGATAACACCTAGTTTCATATGAACCGATATCTCTCTACAAAATTTTATAATGATCTGTCCAAAACTAACACCACCCCCCTTCATAAAATGACTTTATCACTCATTACTGGCGTAAAAATACTATTGCAAGGACAAATTCAACATGAACAAGTTTTTATATCGTCTTATCGAATTTCATGAGAATCCCCTTTCCCAATATAATGTCCCCTTCGAAAAATAACTCTAACGTTTATAACTGAGCTAAAAATGCCAGTATAGCATTGAAATATGACATAATCGTTTTTTATATCAACCAAAATCACTTTACCAAATTTATGACGACAGGTCCATAGTTGACCCTATCCCCCATATAAAGCCCCCGGCAGAAGATGAACCCTTTCACGCACAAATCTAAACCGCTGGACTTATTGTGGATATATATGTATATATTCGTCATTTGTTATAAAAAAGGTAGAAGTTTTTTCGAAGGATATCATAGGATATTATCCTTTTTAGCTTGTATTGACATAAAATTCTAAAAAATAACTTAGTTTTCTTTTGGAAATAACAATTTACTGTACCTGTGAGCTCAAAATTAAGCTCTAAATCGAAAAAAATCAAGAAAAATCTTGAGACACCGGTGTCCCGTATACGTGTAAAAGTTAACCGAAGTCTCTCTTCTAAGTTCTATGAGGAACGGCCCCTAATTGATAACCCCTATATATAACCCTTGAGAGAATTATTTTAACGCTCTTTACTGATTAAATAAAATTTGTAAGAATATCTGTCTGCCAAATTTGATGAGGATCAAAGCATAATTCACCCTAAATATTAAATTTTATAATTTTGAAACTATTTTGGTGTTGTTATTCTATAAATAATTTCCCCCTTCAGAGCTGTTGTACCACCAGTTAACGTGGTCTTATCGTCCTAAATTTTCCAGAATGCATTTCAATAACTTAGAGACAGATACGGCCAATATTCGCAACTTCTTTGAAATTTATATTTCGGACACAAATATACAGTCATGAGGACAAAAGGAACAAAATGTGGATAATTGGTTGGTGGTACGACTTTTTTATTTCCATATTTGGAATCAGCATTCCAAATAATACCGGGAATAATGAAAATAAATTTAAAAAGTTTATACATCGATGGCCCGTGTAATTATTACATTTCATTTCATAAAAACTTAATAAACTCTTTTGTTTTTTTTAAACTAACCTGAATTGCTACATATTTATGAAAATATGTATAATGTACATATGTATAAAAACAAGAAAAACTTCCTCCTACACAATAAAATTCTCATACAACAGTTCATCATCAAACAGTAGAAAATTAAAACAATGAAGCTGTTTTAACTAGAAAAAACATTAAGCAAAACAAGTAAGAAAGTATAGTCGGACTAGACCGACCATATGATACCCTACACCAGTTATGAATATTAAATGTGATTTATTTCATAATAAAGCATTTATCTTGAATATTACCTTGATTCCGATTTATTTAAGCAATTTATTGACGAGAAACTTATTTTCTAAAAGAGGCTTTGTATGGGGGATAGGAGCAAATGTGGACCGATCCCGATATAATGGGCTGGATAGATTTTTGTAATAACAGTGGTAATAAATTAATTGCGGATATTCAAATCACTTTCTGATGGGGGTCAAATGTAGTCCGATCGAAATTCAGCAAGGTCATCAAGGCTTGTATAAAACTTAGTTGTGCGAACTTTCATCGAGATACATTTATATTACACATAATTATTAGCTCAAAAGCCCTTTTCGGAGGGTTCAGTTGTATGGGGGCTAGGTGAAATAATGGACCGATTTTAACCATTTTCAATAGGCTTCGACCTTTGGTCAAAGCAAATGTGTATTCCAAATTTCATCAAATTATCTTGAAAATTGCGACCTGTACTTTGATAACAACGTTTACATGGACACACGGACGGTCGGACGGACGGACGGAGATCGTTAAATCGACTCAAAAAGTGATTCTGAGTCGATCGGTATACTTTAAGGTGGATATTGTATTAATACTTTAATGCGTTACAAACATCAGCACAAACGCATAATACCCTTCCCACTATAGTGGTGTAGGGTATAAAAAGTAATCAGGTTTAAAATTCATTAAGTCATTAAAATAAAGTAAACTAAATTAAGTTGAAAAAAAAAAATAATAATAATAAAAAATGCAAACAAACAAAATCATAAATTTAAAACTGATCATAAACTGTAAAAAAAATGCAATGCACTGATATAAAATTTTGTGTGTTTTCATACAAGTACAAGTGAATTTCTGGTCTGACACAAGTTATTTTTAGTCTTGGTTACTGTTTTTTTTTTATTAGTATAGTTTATGAAATGATCATCAAAATGATGATAATGATGATCATCATCATCATGATTAGTGTATAGGTAAATGATCATTATTACAATATGATCATAATGACGACTCACTTTCACCTTGCAATGTCGTTGCTGGTCGTTGCCTTACATTATATTCAATTACAATAACAAATTTATTATTACTTTAGTTGTTGTTGTTGTGTGTTTTTGTTTTGTTACACTTTTGTTGTTGTTTCTAATAAATCTAGTCTAGCCATTGGTACTTAAAGGTTTCTTTACCTGTAAGTTTTAAAAGTGGCCACAATTGTAACCTTCTATTTTTTTTGTACTTTTTGTAATGCGTCATGCAGTTTAAACACAATCACTTGCACTTCACAACAACAAAGATACATACATACAGTTTGTAGTTTTTTGGTTTTTGTGATTTTGTTGTTGTTGTTTTTTTTAAATTTTTTGGTTTCTTTGTTTATTGAATGGGTTTTATTGTGCTGCACTGTGGGCAGTGTTTGTAAGAATAGTGATAGGAAAATTTCATGCACATATTTATTATATTAAAACGATTTATAAGATTTTTATTCGATACTCTGCAGTATGTAATTAAATTTAATTGTAAAAATTATTTTGTTTTTCTATACTTAATTAATATGTACAAGACTAGTAAATACTTTTTTATTTTCGAAAGGATTTCTATAGTTTTATTTGTAAATTAGGGGAAAAAGTGGCCTCCGAAAGGTTAGTGGTTAATGTTCTAGTTTGGTACACCGGAGGTGGTGGGTTCGATTCCCACCTGAGGCCCTATAGGGATCTAGGTGTATTTCTTCGGATATGATATATATGTACATCCTCCTTTCAAACTAACTAACCAAACTCTAATCTAAAATAATATAATTTAACGAACATATTGATTACGTTTTAACAATTCAATTGTTTCAAAAAATCAACAGTATTTATAGGGAATCATGATATATTTTTGGTATATATTTATTATATTCACAACCATAGTGCAATTTAACAACCGTTACTGCAACTTGTTCAAACATATGTGATATGTGTAGTATTCGTGTCTTTGCTGTCGCTTACACACAGCAGTTTCACTAAACAACCTTCACACATTCTTTTCTTTACCTTCAGCCATGACCACGGTTACTAAATTTTTGTGTTTTTTTTTCTCTTTATATTTTTGTTATAATTTTATTTTCACATTTACTTTTCCTTCTTTTTCCCCAAAAAAAAAAAAAAGAAAGAAAGAAAAAAAAAAAAAAAACAACCAACATGCTCCAATAAGATGAGTTTGAAATGAAGTGCTTGTTTCTTAAGTCTTTTGTTTTGTATACGAGAGTAAATGAGTGAATATAAGGTTTGGGTCTTCAGTCTTTCAAGTATATTGAGTGAGAGTTGTTTTTATAATTTTGATATTTTGTTTGGTTTGTTTTGATTTTGATATTTTTTTTTAAATAATAAATATTACTCATTTTACTCTGGCTGCTCTCTTTTTTTCGTTTTGCAAGTTTTATTAGATAGTATTTAAAACGAAAGCTTTTATTTACTTTCATTTTTAATACTCTTCATTTTGTTGTGTCTTTTATAATATTACCATGTATTAAAAAAAAAAAAACATTTATAACTGTTTTAGTTATTAAATGCAGCTTTTAAGTATATTTCTGATTTTATAAAATTTTGCTTGTTTAACAAATAAAATATTTACTCATTTTATTTGTAAATGACGTCAACTTTAAGATGTCGTAACTTGTTATTTAAACTTTTAATATTGTTTTGGTTTTGTTATCTTTATCTCTTTTACTCTTGCTTAAGATTTTGTGATTTTTTGTAGTAAATTGTCTAACATAGAGAAAAAAAAACAAATTTCTTCTTTTGCCCTCCCATTCTAACCCCGCACAGCTGACATAAGCTAACGAAAGAAACATGTGTAAAACGAAACAAAAACAATATCTTACATTGTTTCTAAAAGCTTAGTTTGTTGGTAATCATTAAAAGCTGGTACGACCTTGTCTTAATTAAAATTCACATTTAATTCCATCGATTTGAATCGTTTAGCATATTAAAAAACCACAAACTTACTAGTATTATGTTTTCTTTAAGCATAAAAAATAAATTAATAGATTCTTGGTATTGCTTACCTCTGGTATTCTTTTGACAAATTCATCTTCAGTTAGTTGCAATAACTCAGCACCATTTTCAAGAAATTTATTTTCAATATCATCAATTATTGGTAATTTGAATTGTTGTAGGGTGGATCGTAACCATGCGTGTACTTGATTTGCTGACCAAGCCGAGGGATCTGAAACAAATAAAAATTAATTTAAATTTAATTTAAAATTTTTATTCAATGTTTTTGTTGAGTCATTTGGCCATTGGAAAAACTAGTTATTAGTTAAAGGTTAAATTGGTTCATTTGTGATTATGGCTATTATGGTGAAAAAATTTTATAATTGATTTTTTTTGGTATGTTTAATAAATTGTTTAACTATGAATCATTATTAATATAATTTTAGACAAGCTACTTGTTAAGAAGTTATATTTAAATAAGTTCAATATAAAAATATTAAACATTACTATAGTTGGTGTGTCCTTTTATAAATTGCCTTACTTCCGCTGTATGTTTATTTAGAGATTTTCTGAAGACGAAATAATTAAGCGATTTATTAATTTCTTGCGGGACTTAGAACTTTGATAAACTTTAACACTTTAATATAATTAATGTCACAATAGGCTGTTGATTAAATTGTTTTAACTTATGTATGTGTTGTTACTAGATAACCTGTGAGTAGTTTGAGTAAAAATTTTACAATAACAAAATACAAATAAAATTTGTGCTCAAACTACTCGCACGTTATCTAGAAGCAACATATTAGGCTCTCTTTTTATTCAAAACCAACAAAACGCTAAAAGCATGAGTACCCAGCAGAGAATAAAAATAAATATATGTCAAGGATCATTTTATTATGGGGACTTTGTATAGGCAATAAGTTAAAATATGGCCCAACAATAACGAAAATTGGTAATAGAACCTATAATGGACACACAGACGGACGGACAGATGGACGGACAGACAGACAGACAGACAGACAGACAGACAGACAGACAGACAGACAGACAGACAGACAGATGGACAGATAGACAGACAGACAGACAGACAGACAGACAGACAGACAGACAGACAGACAGACAGACAGACAGACAGACGGACGGAAAGACTGACAGAAGGGCAGACGGACAGACGGATAGACGGATTACTGTGGCGAATGGAATAAAAATATATTACAAAAAAAAATCAAAAATACTTCGAACGTTTAATTAAATGAATTTCACTTACCCTGTGATATTTGCAATTTAGCACAAGTAGCATCAGCTTCACGTTTCGCATGTTCTAATGCTAATGTAATAACTGGTTCGATATTATCACGAACCTCTTCCAGGCCACCAATAAACGACTCCAGAGCCAAAGGTTTCAGATTGTGTCGTTTTTGGAACGTTGTATCTTCCAAATATTCGCGCAATAATTGATGATCTGCTGTCACGGTGGCACTACACTGTGATTTATTCAAATCATTAAACGTTTCAACATCGGAATCGAAAGGTTCTGATTTGAAATCGAAACCACTGCTACAGCTACTATAGCTAGACTGTGGTGTGGGAGTATCACAGTTGGATTCGGGTGGTGAAGGTGGTAATATGTGTAATTGCTCTTGCTTAATCGTTTGGGCATCAATAGAGGGACACGGTGAGGAGGCAATATTATATAGAGAATTGCGAGATGAACTTAAAGATTCATAACAGGCAGACGAGGGCGATGATGAGTATTGTGTGTGGGAAAAATTATATTCTGATTGAGCGGGGCTAGATTGCGGCGACGGATAGATTTGTACTGGATAAGCGGGTGGTGGTGGTACAAGTTGATTTTGTTTCGTATTTAAAGGAAAATAGCTTTGATAGATTTGCTCTTGTTTAATTGTGTTGAGAGAAGGACACGAAGACCAGGTTTGTTCGATTTTTATATCGGGTACAGCAAGTGAGTTGGCTTTATCTTGTTGTAAATGTTGTTGATTTATTGTCGTTGTATCGAAATTGTAAACTGTTGTGGGTATATTATCTATATGATTCGTTTGCTTAATATTTGTCGTTATTGTTGCTGTTTGTGTTGTATTGTTATTATTATCATTATTGTAATCCTGAGGTAGTAGCGATAGATCAAAATTATCTGTATATGTTGCAAATGGATCATTTATAGTTCCACTAGCACTTGTTGTTGTGACGGCAAATTGTGTCGACTGATGTGTTTGTGAAAATTCATATGAAATTTCTGGTATTTGAGGGGGTAAAGTTACCAAACAGTCACCTGTTTGAGGCATCTGAAATTGGAAGAAATAAACAAACAAAAATTATTAATTAAAATTCAAGATATAGATTGTTTAAATATAAAAATATTGTTTTTTTTTTTTTATTTTAAAGTTCATTGATCTGTTTGGTTTGAAAAAGTTAACAAAAGTATCAGGTGGTACCAGTAACAAACAAATTTTAAACTTGTTAAACATATATTAAGTAAGTTCTATTGATAAGTAAACAAATTGAGAATTAAATAAAATACAAATTATATTGCTATGAATTTACATCATTTCTGTTATATTTCTAGTAACTTTCGATATAATTTTATTATAATTTTTTATAATTGTGACAATTAATTATTTTTCTAATTCATTTATGTTGACATTTTCATTCTCTTTTATGCAATGTATTTCTAATGTCAAGTGTTTTTTTAACACATTTTCATTGTGTTTAAAAAATGTATTTAAGTTTTTATTTTTAATAACTTGTTTCTATTAAAACTAATTTCATGTTTTAAAGATAAGAAAGGTCTTAATCGCCCCACATAGTAAAATTATTTTTCAATAATGTGTACCGTTGTGAAATTAATGTTGTTTTGTTAGGTCGACTTATAATTCTTAACTAATCGAGGTGTCTGAAAGTTTTTGTGTGTCTGCTTTGAGATAGATGAATATTTAAAGTTCTTATCACTAATGGAAACTATTTATTTTTTATGTTAAGTAATTGTTTTCTTATACCCTACACCACTTTAGTGGGGATGGTATATTGGGTTTGTGCTGATGTTTGTAACATACAAAAATATTCGTCCTATACCAGTCCTTAAAGTATACCAATCGGCTTAGAATCGTTTTCAGAGCCGATTAAGCTATGTCCGTCCGTCCGTCTGTCTGGCTGTCCATGTAAACCTTGTGCGCAAGGTACAGGTCGCAATTTTTAAGATAATTGGATGAAATTTGGCACACACGCTTCTTTTGGAGGATGAAGGTCGAAGTCTATTGAAAATGTTTAAAATCGGTCCATTATTTCACCTAGCCCCCATACAACGGAACACCCCGAAAAGGGCTTCTGAGCTCATAATTATATTAAATATTCCGATAAAAAGCGGCACAACTACGTTTTATACAAGTCTTGATGACCTTGCCAAATTTCATAAACATAGGGCCTCATTTGACCCTAGCTCCCATACAAAGACCCCTTCAGAAAATTACTTCAATGTCCAAATTTATCATATAAACACAAATATCGCGATGAAATTCAGCACAAATAAATATTATATATAAATTATATTTTCAGACAATTAGTTTTTCATCCATAAATTGCTTAAATGTATCGGAACAAGGTAATATTGAAGATAAATGCTTTATTATAAAAAATAAATCACATTAAATATTCATAACTGGTGTAGGGTATCATATGGTCGGTCACGTCTGACTATACTTTCGTACTTGTTTTTATTTTCATTTATAAAAATATATAGTTATTTATGTTTTGATTTTATTCAATATCAAAAATCTTTTTAATAAACAAATTTTTCAACATTTTTTTAATTTTTAAAATTTTATTTTTAATAATTTTTAAAAATTTTTTTTGTATGTAATTTTATTTATTTTTTAATTTTTCATTTCAGCTGTATCAAGTTTTGTATATAATAAAAGCAAAATAACAAAAACTGTTTGTTGTTGTTTACATTGTGTTTTGCTATCTAATGGTAAAAAAAAATCGCTCATGTCTCCGTTATATATAGACCGATTTTGCTGAATTTTTATAACAAACTTCTAGAAGAATATATTAGGATTTCATGAAATTGGTTTTAACAGACAGACGGACAGAAGGACATAACTACGTTATCTATATGACAAACTTGAATTTATATTTTATATTAAATAGTTCTTGACCATTGTTTTCTTAAAAAAAAACTAACACTTCTCACTTATAAATAAATAATTGTATTTAAAAAACTATTTATTAAACTATTTTAATGACTTTAAAACACAAAACTAACTTAAACTTACCAACTTTCAACAAAACAAAAATACTGATTTAGTTAATTCGAATTATTTTATAGATTCAAAATAATAAAAATCATAGATTTTTATAGTGAGATCATTATGTGTGTAATACAAAAAAAAAACTTGTTTAAATATAAACAATAACAATATTATAATTCACACCTTTTTACAATTGCTTTGTAGATGTAAAGATTTTTAAAAATTTTTAAAACTTAAAATTATTGAGATTTTACGCTTTTATAAAGCTTAGATATTATTATTATTATTTTTTCTTTAAATTTTGTTTTAAATATAAACAAAAATATACATATGTATGCTTTAAACATATAAAACAAAAAATACACAAATTGAATATAGACAAACGAACGAAGAATGATCGAATAAAGCGCGAATTACATATTTTTTTTTTTTCAATCAAAACTTAAAACGTTCTTAACGTTGGTAACAAGCCGTTATGCCGGTAAAAAGCCAACTAAATATAAAAAAATATTTGCTAACATTTATCAAGCTTTTACTACCAATCTAATAGCCATTCCACCAAACACCCAGACAAACAACTAGTCTACAACTAGAACCTTTCCAACGAGCTTGTAGTGGAAACAATAAAAAAACGCAAAAAAACCCTAATAAAAAATACAATAAACAAAATAAATTAATGACGTTTTAGAAAAAAATCACTAACATGACGTTATAGTTCTATAGTCATTTAATTCTGACTGAAAAATAAGAAGAAAAAAACCCAAAAGCAAATTGATCGTGGAGAATTCATTGTTATTGTATTTTAGCTACACCTCCCAAATCCCCTTTATTTTAGATGGACAAAATCTGCTCTAGAGATGAGAAGAGAAAAAAAACACAACAACGCGGGAAAGCTTTATTTTTTTATTTCAAAGTTTTTAAAATGTTTGTTTGAATTGCGATTTTGCAAAAAGGTTTATTACATTTTGTTGGCTCATGTATATTTATATGTATGTATCTATGTGTTGTGTGTTTGTAAAAATATGTGAATTTGTTGTAATTGCTGTGATTGACTGGTTTTTGTAAATTACGTTAAATGACAACACAGATGCTTGGTAATACCATAAAATTAATGACGATTTACAATAGAGTACTCTACTACTTATTGTAAGGTGTTGTGGGATTTTTAAATTATTATATTTATATTAATTAGAAAGATCTTTTGCTGATCCAAGAAGTATTTTGGAATTAATGATCTTAAATTGTTTGCTAATCTGTCAAACTACTTACATAGCTAAAACTTGGTAATGACTTGAAGTTAAACAATTCCATTACTCTAATAATATCGCTCTTGTAGTAAACAAGACTGAGATAATCCACAATTCGGGTTTTTTAAACTGAGGGTACTAAAGTCTTTCTTTTAGTTTCAACAAATTTCATATAAGTCTATTATTTTCGGTGTGTGATCAAGTTTTGTTTTCAGATAATCTCTCGAACCTGGTTTAAATCCATTGATTTGCTTAAAAGTTATTAAAATAATATATATAGTAAAATGTCATTAACCATTCAAAGTCATTTTTCACGAAAAGGCCTTTTTTGAATTATGTCTGTCTTGTATTAAATGAGCTTACATACATAAGTATTTCTGAATAAATACTGATTTGTCGTACAGAAATACGAACTATCTATTTAACCTACCTACCACTTATGGCTATCCTTAGCACCCCAACTACCTGATTTGCTCTTTGTAAATGCGATTGAAGATTGAGGAAAGCAGAGAAAGTCATCACTTTACTGTGCCCAAGTAATGTATAGAGTAGGCACTTAAAAAAAGGCAAAGGTTATTACCGTGTACTGACTCCTTTCCTTTTCTGAATAACTTTTTTGTAGTCTATAGAGTGATGATTGACTTCCCACTAGAACAAACACATGCTAAAGTCATCTGGGTAGTCGGATGTATACGAATTATTGTTTTTGTCACTCCGTTTGTAATACATCGAAATATTGGTCTAAACCCAGAAAAGTTCTTCTTGATTCTCATTAGATTCTAAGTCGATCTAGCCATGTCCTTCCGTCTGTCTGTCTGTCTGTCTGTCTGTAGAAAACACGGTAGAGTCCGAACGAAAAAAGCTAGAGGTTGAAATTTTCCACAAATAATTTTTATTGATACAAGTTGTTTGGTATTGAAAATGGGCAATATCGGTCCAAGTTTTCGGATAGCCCACATACAAGTGGACCCACCGAAAAACAGGTTTAACAGTCATAATTAGATAAAAAATATCCGTATAGCGATGAAATTAAAAAAAAAAAAACTAGTCATATACAAACCAAAATTTCTCTACCAACTTTTATGAGGATCGGTGCATAATTGACCCTATCGCCCATATAAGGTCCCATTCAGAAAATTATTTTAACGGTCATTACTGGCTCAAAATTGCGTGTGAAGCGATGAAATTCATGAATAAGTTTTCTTCTAGTCAAAATTTCTCTACAAAATATGAGGATCGGTCCTTAATAGACCCTCACCCCATATAAGGTCCCATTCAAAAAATGATTTTAACTGCCATTACTGGTTTAAAAATACGAGTAGATATATGAAATTTAACACAAACAAGTTCTATATGAACTGAAACCTTCCAACCGACTTCGATTAGGATTAGTCGAAAACAGTTCCTACCTTCCATTTAAGATCCCCTTCAGGAAATTAAAATTAACCCTACCCCCATATAAGGTTCACATCAGAAAATAACTTTAACGCTCATTACTGGTTAAAAATACGATAACAGTGATGGAATTCGATATAAAAAAAGTTTTATATGAACTGAAATCTTTCTACCGAATTTGATGAGGAACGGTCGATGACTGGCCCAACCCCCATAAACGGGTTTCTTCAAAAAATTACTTCAAATTTTAAAAAATATTAAAGATACGAAGACAGCTATTAAATTGTTGTATAAACCGATGAGGATAGCTCCAGAATTGACTCAACTCCCATAAACTCAATAATAACAAAAGCATCGACTCTTAAATATTAAAGTTTATTTATAAAGAAGCATTCC